TAAATTTTTTTTTGTCCTCTTGTCAATTTTGAATAATTTTCATCCAAGTTATGTAACTTTATAACCTCGGTTACCTACACAATAATATACAATTTGTATGATTTTTAAACGGCTGAAATTATCAAAACGAAATAATAATAAAGAAGGTTATTAAAATTAAATACTATACTGAAATTTGTATTCATAACTATTATAAGATATTTATATAAATTCCAGTGATTGATCTAGAAATTATAAATTCAAAAAAAATAATAAAAAACACACGGCAGTATCGAAACATACAATATTGTCTATGAATTGAGGTATTATGTTTGAGGTGGAATTTTTAATACCTTATAAATACATTTTGTTTTTCTTCGTCAATTTAAGGATTTTCCATGAAGGCTGTGGCTATTATATAATAATGTGATATACAGCATCATAAAAAGGTAAAATCAGTCATCGGAGTATTATATTCCTGCCGACATTGTAAGCCTATCACGCCCATGACGATCTATTGCAAATAAGGGTTCTCGACACGTTTAGGTCCGTTCCGTGTTTTTATACCATACTCGACGAGGTCACGAGGACCGCCCACTGTGATTCACAATTTATTTGTTGTTATACGTTATTAAGCGTTATTATTATACCACTCGAATATCGATAAACATGATCCTGAAGAAAATATGTGAACCTATTTTTGATAAGTACTGAAATAAATTAATGGAAAATAAGATACAATAAGTAGCTACAAAAATAAACGGGGGGTGATGTACTATGGATATGGATTATAAAAAGCTATAATAATAAAAGATATAATAATTATTAATTGATATTGATAAGTGATAACCACAGACATTTAATATTCATTTTATATATCTATTATATTATAAATTATATTACATTAACTACTTAAGATATATGTGTTAATTTGTATATCAATTACTAAGTTCATCTTCTTTATTTATTAGTAACTATATATAATATCTATAATAACAATAAAGAAATTTGTTTTGCATTAATTTTATTCTATATTTAAGAAAATCCACCAAGTGATTTATTAATATATAATTCTATATTTATTAAATTTAAAATGTATAATAGATATTATCACTATTACAATAATTATAAATTTCAAAGACAAAAATATATAATTCCTCACGTCTTAGTCTTCATAAAGTTGTATACGTTTTATAAAAAAAAATAATAATTTTATACGTTTTATACGTGAGGTATTCGTATTATACGTATAGCATATAAAATGTTTTAAATTACCAACCCTAAAAAAATACATTAAAATCTCTTTACACTGGAAGCTCTGAATAACGGTTACAGATATGTGTCAACAATAGTAAAATATTAAATTATAATGCAACATCTTAATCTTAATTTATATAAATTTTAACTTTAAAAAAATTATTTAAAATTATTTCATTATGATAGTCTTTTTTTTAATATGTAGATACTAGATACCACTAAGTACAACTTATGATGAACTTCGTCTTAAATTGTTAAGCATTCTACTGGAAAATGTTTAAATGATTAAAAATAGTTCAAGAATCGGCAGTATGTTTTCAAAATTTTACCACGTTTCAAAAGGCTAATATAAGTATTCGGTCTTTTTCATTGAAACAAGATTTCTGATGTGAACGTTTTTAAGTTATATATTCACTCTACATATCGGTTATCTATAAATGTGGAATGGATTACTTCTAGTATCGATCGCCTCTGTATGACCACCACTTCTAAATAGCGGTCTATATTTGTTATATTTATTTTCAATTTAATTAGTTTTTAACTGTATTTTAGGTACAATTACTTGATTTTAATGATAAAAAAAAATACATACCTAACAAAATAATACAAAATTTTGGAGTTTCGAAGAATCCGATATACGTATGTACAGAAAAATTCGATTTTTAGAGTTCAAAACTGAAAAAATGAACTCACTTTTCGGGATTAAATTTCGGTATATTCCGCAATGATACAGATTTTTTATTTCCAGAAACTATATACATAAAATTGCTTACAAATCACAATAAAATTTACCGTGTTGAATTATTCTTTTTTTTTCTCCTACGTTGACTACTTTTAAGGATTTCAAGGGTTCGTGTCACTCTATAAGTACTGCGGTATCATATTATATTAGATTAGTACTAAATCAAACGATGCCGTCGCATAGGGCACATACGTACTGTATACCGTGAATTGAAAAATATAAACGTTCTTATAACTGTAACTAAAAATTACTCAATCATCTTTTTGTTTATAGTAGTAATACTTGAACAACAGAATAAAATATCTCAAGCGGCGGTTAGTTACATGTAGTAAGGATAATACGAAAGCAAATATAATATATAATACCTATGATAAATTAAAATATAAATTTATTTTTGGAAATTGTTCGAGTACCATTAAATTAACTTTGGTAAAATAATTAAATTAGCCCTCCAATATAGAAAATTTGAAATTTGTTTTCACTTTATCGAGTTGTGCTATGTTAATGTTTGTTTGTGCGTTATTTGTAGCCACTGTTTGAAACTATTTTTTATTTAGCAATATTGGTATCATATAACATGGTAAATACTACATTTTTTATAAAAAAAAAAATAAACCCAGCTCAATTGTCCCTAAATTAAGCGATAATTAACATTCATTGTAGGTACTAAAGGTAATTTTGAACAATGAATGATATAGAAAACACTTTTAACTATAATGAATCCATTATTAACATTTATAGATTATAACTATTGATTTTATTATAGGTTTGCACGTTAAAATTTTTATTTTAATGAAATTATAACATGATTCAAAAATAACTAAAAGACAAAAATACTAAAAACCAATGTCTCTTATGTTTTATGAAACAGGCAATCAAAACAAAATTCAAGTACCAATAATAAAAGGTGAATTTCATACAATATAATTTGAATGGACGAATGAAAACGGTTGTTTAAATTGTTGAAACAATTTATTAATAATAGTGATCTTCGTGTGATGCGACATGATGGTAGTAACGCAACTACAAGGAAGTATGTATATATAAATATGAATTTTAAAATGTTATTTGGTATTATGATAAATATCACTGATCAATGTAATAGCTATTTTATTCAGATGATAAAATAACTGTTGATTAAAAAAAATTGTTATTTGTATTATTTATACAAGCTTGTGCTTTCGTAAAAAAACATTTTTATTATAACAGCACAATTTATATCAAACAATTATCAATTTCATACCTATAAATATTATTTTACTAAATTGATAAATATTTTTTGGGGTCATTTCAAATAAATATTTAATTAAATTTATCTAGTTTTTGTTTTGAATTTATCAGTATTTTTCATATTTAATTAATGATTCAATAATTCATCGGTAGAAAAACTCGCAGAAACTGTAATATTTATTGATATAGTAAATATTAGAATTTTAATTTTTTTTTTTTTCGTATTATCCTTATTATTGCAGGTTAGTTATCCACCAGTTCAGATATTTTATTTAATTGTTTAATTAGTATCACCCCAAGCAACCTTAAAAGTATAACACAATCCATAGAAACACTTGTTTTCTAATTGTTTATTACTAATTTTGTTGATATATGAAAAAAAAAATGTTTGAAATAATACAATACTTAAAAATATATTAATGTAGAATGTACGCAAACGGAGGTTAGAAACAATTTGACTGATTATAATTTGTTCTTTGTTTCCGATTATTATAGAATAAAAGCGTGACTAGACTAAAATATTGAATCATTGGAATTTTAAATAAACTTAATTCGTGAAATGTTGTCAGCCTTTTACCTAAAATTAAAATACAAAATATTTTGGTAATTCATTTAACCAATAAAATTATATTCAAGCCGTCTGTGTCTACCGTGAATGCCATCTTAAGACATTCTTCTTTTTGTTACAATACAATAATCCACGATCTAGGATTAGTCCAGATTCGTCTTTCTGATACTACTTATATATGCAGCCCGTGATGTATGGATGGAGTCATCGATATGGATTAAATTCAATAGCCATACTATTGACGAGAGAAAAAATACGATTTACTTGCCTTGTGTGATATGTAACTTAACAAAATCTTTAATCCTAATTTTAGTCATTATACTATATATCTATGAACCGCCACGATAAATTAAAATTATTATTGTTCTTTGTGTTATGTTCTTTGTGGTAATTATATTCAATCAATCAATAAAGTACTTATTCGATTTTAAAAATATAGGATACAGGTAGATATGTAAATTTTATGAAATTTACTATATTTCTATAGCTTGTTAATATGCTGTCATTACCCGAGTTACGTTAGGTTATCCAACACAAACATACAAACTCTGCAGTTTAAATATCGCTATGAAATGTCGCATACATATAGTTAAACACAACCTTACATTTTATAATATGTTACCATCTGACATCAGCTGTGTCCAATATCGTCCGATGGAATATTAATTTTATTTTTTTCTGTCTATTTACAACTTAATTAATTAAAGAAACCCATCAATAAACATAACATTATTGATAAGAGCGTTCGCCAAGTTTGACAGTAGTAATACTGTCTTACTAAATAGCTGTATTACTCTGTGGTAGTGTTGGTAACTTGAACATTTTGTCAAAAAAAAAACTGTAATAATCACGGTTGAGATGATTAACTCGTTATACTAATTAATGATGTAATCCGGATTATCAGAAAATACTAAATTTAGATTACAAAACTTAATATTTTTAATTTTATATATTTTTTTATTGATACTTTACTATGCTCATAATCTGAGATGTGCATTAAAAGATTTTATTAAAAAAAATGTTTATAACATTATTGCTGGCTTTCATCTATATTTTATGTTTATTTGATTATTTTACTCAATGTGATTATAATAAATTATTATATCAGACAAATTATATTATATTTATACTAAATACATTTATAATAATGATTAGTTTTTTATTTGAATAACAAATGCCAAAAAGAATCCGTGATCAGAGTTTTAAAATCTAAAACTCAGGTTTTTAATACATTTTTGATTTCGGATTCCAAAAATCCAGATTATCGAACTTCAGCAAATCAGGATTTTTCCACCACTAATACAAATACGTGTTAAATGATAATAACCAATATTAATTATTATTTGTTACATGACATAAACAAATATTTCATGGGTAAATCAATACAATACATGTATTTACCCTCTTGATACGTGGCTGCCAACTTCATACCTCTCTATTATGGTATCATACGGCATGTCTATATCTAGCTCAGTTATCATATCTTTTATATGCTTATCATACCCTGCAACGACATGCATTATGATAAAGGCACTTACCTTGACGATTGGCACTACGGGCATCGATGCGGTTCGGCCACGGTCCGTGACGGTCGCTGATCTGCGGTTGCCGAACGCCGAGGACCGATGAGAGCTCCTCCTGGGTGAGCCGCCCGTCGCCCTGGCCCTCAACGACCGGCTGGTACCCGGTCTGGCCGTCACCGGTGGCCGCATGGACGTGGAAGCGGCCGACGACGACCATCGCGACGGTGACGGTCGCCGAAACTGATGTTCCACGATGCGTTTCTCCTCCAAGACAGCTTCGGGCGGTGGCTCGTCGTCCGGCCGATAATCACCGCCATAGATCATTGGCGTCGACGTTCTGCGTACACGAAAATATGATACATATAAGTAGTTAGTGGAAATAAATACGTTTCTCAAAAGGAAATTTTTCGCGAAAAGTATGTTAATATTTATTGTATAATCAATTAAAACGTTCATTTTTTTGTTAGGTTAAGAAATATATTCTAAAATTAATATTTCCGAATATCATGTCATCTTGAAGTCTACATTATTTAACACATACCTAGCTAGGTACATAGGATTAGGTTAAGTTTTTCACGATTTTTGCAGCTATTGATTTCTGGGGGCAGAGGAAACAAGTGCAGTTTAACATGTACTTTTGTGACTGATAATCTGAGTTAACACGTTAGAAAAAGTAACACCTCTTCATGTTCTACATGTTTTCGGTTCTCTTTTTTTCATTACTGTACATAACTTTGTAACGGTAATTTTTATTTCGTAATCTAATAATCACGAAAAGTAAAAAAAATTAAAATGCGTTTACGACCTCTACACCTTTTTTTGGGCAGATCAGTCGTTACTGGGCCGCAAACCATTATCGTGTTATGAATATTTTACTTATTCTCTACCGAATTAAATTTGACAAATACAATTTTTTTTTCACAGTATTACTGTTAATGTACTTCTAAGATAATATTAGTAGTAATATTATTTTCTATATATCTATATGATCATTTATCAATTTGCGGAATGGAAAATTTCAAATATTAGCCATCTGTCGAATTTATTATTTTATTTATTATACCTATGTTAAACGATGTACGCGTATCGTTCTAAAATTTGTGTTAACCAAACTTATTTTTACGCTTTAAAAATATTTCCGTTAATAATGTCAATATTAATAAATGTTAAAAAACGTTTAAACGTCCGTAGAAAGTGAAAATATATAGTACAATCAGTGTCAAAAATTCCTAATTTTCGGCAAAACCGATCAAAACATAACATTAAAAAAATCCTTAGCCTATTCGAAAAAAAATGTTAAACACTATAATAGACAATTTATTTAAAAAGAAATGTTTAAAATAATACCTATTTTATCTACTACAACGATAAGGTAACAAAAATATTGAGAAGTTAAACGTTTATTGTGAACCTCGTTAGAATATACATTTTTTTAAGGATTACAATTTTTATAAGTTATGATTCTAAACAGACGGTACCGGATTCCAGAAAATCAAAATCATATTTTCTTACATAATTATAAATTATAGCAATGAAAAGCCACGTTATTCAATTTATATTATAATTATTATATATATTAGGGTGGTCGTTATTTTACCGATTTCCTTCAGAACACCCGCCTATCTTTTACCGTATACGAAAACAAAATATCCTCAAAGTTTAAAGCCATTTGGATAATATTTAGTAGAAACGTACGGCATTTAATATTTAATAACAAAATAATTGCACGAAATCAATAAAAATAGTGTACAAATGACTACAGATCGTTTCAGGGGCGGTCAAACAGAGGGAATCAAGGGAACATGCCCTCCCCCCTTAAGTTATTTTTTTTTTTTAAACAATTATAATATTATTAAGTTGATTTTTTTAAGCATGTTCAATTTTCATCCTATTTTTATAGTTAGAATATGCATAAATTCAACTTCTAATATTTGGAATTTTTAAATGTCGAAAAATATGATATTTTCGAATAGGTACTTAGATTTTTACAACACTTAAAAAAAATCTGTGACGATATTAAATTTGGTTTTTTAATGAGAATATCTATTTACTTTTATTGTCATTTCCAAGCAAACAATGACAATATAGATAATATAATTAGTATAATTGTACTTGTATACCTCTATTAATATACTGTCAATTTCATTGTCATAAATGTTTTTAGATTCGGAGCGTAGTGAGGTTTCGCTACGCTTCGCTTCTATTGGTTACACTTTGACGAGTTTTTTTTTTTTCATTATTTTATGTCAGTAATATAATAATTATAAAAGACCGTAAAAAAACATAAAATAAAAACGGATAAAATTACGGCGTTATAATTGCTTTATTTTACATTTTTAGGGTTTATATTTTCTACCAAAAATATTGCTCCAATAAATAAAACGACAGGATATCTTTTTAGTTACGTAGATATCTTTTCTGTTTGTTTTTTAATCTACCTAGTTGGTGAATAATAAATTCGTTTTTTGATTTTCCTATTGGTTATTTAATAATTGAGCCAAACCATTAATTTCAATTTTTTTTTTTTTTTTGTTGTTGTTGTTGTAATCCAGTTAAAAATATTCATAGAGACTTGAAATTTGATTAGAGAAAATATTTTCCCTTCTATGTACATACGACGACTTTCACTGTGTACATAAAAGCGACAAAAGTTATTTTATCAGCCGGTCTTGATGATGTATGTACACGTCCCGTTTCGTGCACAAACGTTATCAAAATGACATAATTAAATTTAACAAATGTATCGTTTTCGTTATACCCGAGCACACGTATTTGATAAAATATAAACTATATGTATTGTGTTTTATAAAATGATAATAAACCGTGGAGCGACATTCCGTGTACGAATATAATTAATCAGCAGACGGATTTTATTATTGTGTTTACGTTTGTTTTTTTTTTTTTTTAATATCGAATATTACGCCCATAATCGGACGTGTTTAAATTTTAAAAAAAAACACCCGTAGTGCATCCTTGACACTAACGCAATATGCATATTTTATATAAAATGTCATCCTCCTAGCATCATTGGTCGGGGGGGGAGGGTTGTATAGGGGTGTTCAAAACTAGAAAAACACAACACAGTCGCAACAACATAAACTGTTATTGGGAATATAAATTATTCAAGTAGGCTCTAATCCACCAATATAAAACAACAACGCTCACTCGTCTACGATTAGATTTAGAGCGAAGCTAGAAATGTATCGGTTTTACAATAATGTTTATTTATTTATTTTTTTTTTTTTTTTTTTTATCTATGAACAACATTTTTACAATAAATATTGATCCGATTTTCGAATTTAACAACTTTTCAGAGAGGAAATTTTACCTGGGTGGCACTTTAAGGAGGCTATTTCTGATTTTCCGAGTGGTTTTCATAATATTGGGAAGACTGAGGAAAAATGTAAGAAAAACTGAAAAATGTACGAAATGAATTATTTTTAATTTTTTTTTTTTTTTTGTTATGATTTAATTAAAAATATTCGTAGAGACTTGAAATTTGGAAAGGAAACTCACACTTGCCATTTATTCTAAATTTGGTAAAATTTTCAAAACATTTTAGCAGTTTTTGAACTATGTATAGAGTAAAGACATTTAAAATTAGTGAGATTTTTACATAATTTTTATTTGTTTGGTACTCTGTGGATAAAATTGTTAAACCAAGCATAAATATTTGAAAATTTAACAGAAGATTCATTATAAGTCGTATTTTGTGATAAAAAAAAAATAATTGGAGTGTAATGTAGAATTTTTTTATGCGAATTTCAGTATCAAATTTTGACAAAAATCGTATAAATTACGGCCTTTAAAAACATATTTAACTAAATATTCTGCTCAGAATCATTTTTCATTAGCAATGATTAATCATTGCGTACAGATATTCATTAAATTTCCGCCTATACCCAACCTTCCTAACGCCTCACCTACAACAGTTACCCGTGCATTGTGCAAATAATGTTCTTTTTTTTTATTGCAGAGTAAGATATAAATTTGATTCACTGGAATTTTTTAATATATTTTTTTTTTTAATGAATAATGAGTTTTAACGCAATTGTAATAATACTAATATATCATTGTATATTTAAAAAAAAAAAAAAGTTATTTTTAATTGTTTTAAATTAATTTTTAATGAATTTTAAGATATAATATTAGTAACTAATTTTTTTAGTTGATTTTAAAAGACGACAATTTGAGCTACTGTACTGAAGCTATTGAGTTTTAAGCGATTGCAAATTCCAAAAGGTTTTGAACGAAAAGTTAAATATTATGTAACAATAAAACATATGGTAAAATGTAAAACGTGTCACTTACTCGTACGACAAATACATTACAATGCTTTTGAACAACCATGTACTCGTGAACTCACTATACGTTCTATACCTACTAAGTATATAACTACACTGGAAATTATAATTCTGAGGTCGAGACGTGCTCACTAATAACAGTATGGATTTTGACGAAAAATAGCAACTGCAATATTCGTCGACCAAAAAAAAAAAATACAAAGATATAATTTTTGTATCATCAAGTCTATAAAATTTAGGTAGGCATCCACTATCCAATAATTACATGTTTTCTGAAAAAAAAATGTATAATAATATATTTTGGGTAAAGTCGTTTCAAATAAAAATATTAACCACGTTGAAACAATAATATCAGTCCGTCAAATAGTGTACGGTGCGTTTTTGCATTAATTCAACGCGAAACGAAAATGTCGGTATCAGTGTATATTTATCTCAAATCGTTTTTAGTAACATACCTAATCGATAAAAAATAGGTAGCAAATATGTTTATATGAATAAGAAAACATTAATAATAATAGTGAAAACACAGTGAACTTAATGTTTTAGACTTCGAACAACATTTAAATCGAAAAAGAATTATAAAAAAAATATATTCCGAAAATCGAACAATTTTAGGTTATCGGGATTAGTCCTGAACAGAAATTTGACCGAAACGGGTGAGAAAAAATCCACATTCCGGATACTAAACCGAATATTATGAATCATGTTTTAAATCATTAGAATGGTCAAACGAGACAACAACGACACTTTTGTAATTATGAAACCAACCGTATTAATTGATTTGATTTTGCAATAATCCGGATCGATCGAAACTTTAATCCAGAGGATCAGTAATTCAATGTGCGGATTGATCCGGATTGAGTGTTTGGAACCATTCGGAATGTATACCTGTTTTTTTACTCCACTTCGACCCTGTATATTATTATATGGCACTTTTACAGCATTATCGTCGCACGTTCAATTTGTGATGAAATCAAAGGCGTATATTTATTATACGCCTACTACAGAACATTTTTTTTA